CAATTTTAGAGAAGAAAATGTTTCGGTCGTTACCCGGATTCGAACCCGGGACCTTTGAATGAGAGGCCAACACCTTAACCTCTAGGCCACGAGAGCACCAGTTTTCGCTCTAGAAGGCATCAAGATGAAGGTCACAAAAGAAAAAATCCATTTTAGAACTTAAAGCGCTACAAGCTTGGCGTATCATTGACACTAAATCATGAAAATTTGCAGTGTTTGTGGAGAATCTGTTAGTTCATATAACGCAGTTTGCTATTGAATTAGAGAATTTAGTACAGAGAAATACAATGTTTTTTATGGCTCACGTTCCGGCCACCCAAAATATGTTAACAAGGGGGGGAGGGGGCCTACAGCTGAAGGTTATCTCGCTTATTGTGGATCAAATGTTACCAAAATTCACGCATATAACAAGCATAGTAAGGAGTCTTAAAATCCGTAATCAAATTTGAGAAAAAAATTTTTTCCCATGGATACGGCGTCCACATTGGATTTTATTGACACAATTTACGTAATTAATACCACACTTCTTTTTCATGGAAATAAATTTTTTGGGGGCATGCATCTTGGCAAACAATAGATCCACAAATCTGTGTGAAGAATTGTTCCTAAAAGTCCTAGAACATTTTATATGAATTTTTTCCTGAGGTAGTGTTCACATTTGCAGAAAATCCGTGAAAATCCACACTCCACCACCAAGGAAAAACTATCTTCATTCTGTGAAAATTTCATGAAGATTGGAAGAAAAAAAGTGGAGTTATTTTTAAAAGTATATAGAAAACCTCGTTTCCAGAAAACGGGCGATAAAGAAAAATGAAAAGATTGACTTTATGAGGAAATGGTGGTGAGTAACATGCCCGGTATGGGAAGAAATAAGGCTTTCGGGGGTTCTTATACAATGAAAAAGTTGTAAGAGAGGCTAATAAGCTAAAAATGCCAACAACTTGAAATCACAGTTTTGAGCTGAATCGGGACTTTCAGCTGTGCACCCGTTAAGAACGAGAACACCTTTAATGTTTTCTGGCACTATACGGCTCAAGATCCCCATACCCCTGTACGAGAACGTGGTGACATGTCTAGACTTTTGTGTGTGTTGGTGCAAACATTTTTTCGTGGAGAACTCCATAGGAAAAAGTGTGTGCTCCAGGGGCATATTATTTTTACTAATTGAGGAACAAAAAAATAGAACGGGTGAAAATGCCACAGAATTGCCTCAAGGGCCCAAGCTTCCTTCAGACATTTCTGCCCCCTCCTCAGGGCTCCTGACTCTTTCTGCAGCCTTTCCACTGCTTGTCCTTGGCTCTTTCTTACTGCTGTCTTTCAGCCACACCCCTGATCGGATGGTAGGAAAGATCAACACCTAACCTTCTCGGACAAAGGCGAAAAACCTCGGAGGTCCCGTGAGCAAGTTGTGCACGTTAAAGATCCTTTGGTGGTCTAAAATCGATGAGAGTAGGTTTCGGGGGGGGGGGGGGGGGGGGGAGGGAGAGGAAAACCAGTAAAAACAGAAAGACAGACACACACAGACACAGAGATAGACAGACTGTCTAAGTCTCCGTACGCCTTTTTGAGAATGGCGCGAAAGGAGCATTTCTAATACAAGGGTAGTAACTCATAGAATCTTTGAATAAAGCTATCTATTTACCTGATTAACGACCTTTATATCGTTTCTCCAAGCACTGTCATCTTAGTTATCACACTGATAAGAGTTTTATGACGCTCGCAGTTGCATAACATTGTATGAACGTGCGGTATTGTTTCTCCCTCGATAAGTTCGAATACGCCTCTGGTAGATTTGAGTAACCACGTGGCCTGTTTCTGGGTCCATTCTTTTGACCTCCTGTTCAACATTGGGTTTTAATGTTCAAAGTCAAAGGATAGTGCGTTGTCTCCGTAGACTCTATCGGTAAAAAAAAAAATACTCCAAAGGAAATAATACTGGGGTTTAGGTCAGCGCAGAATGCAGTGACTATTCTTTAGAATTATAAGCTTTCTGCTTAAAGGGTATTCCTCAAACAATTATTCTTTTAACTTTCCATGGGCCACTCTTTATATTGTGTGGAATGTGGCCACACCTTGTTGGTGGGTGGTTGGCGGGTGCTCTGGTGTGGTTTGCTCCTTCTTTCCTATCAAACATCTATCGTCCTTATCTCCCTTTTTTCTTTTTTTATGTTTGTTACTCTCTTGTGACACCTCCAATCTTCAGGCGCTCATATGACCTTATGCAGTTGCGAGCGCCGTAAAACCTCCACTAAAATAAACAAACAACACCCTGTTGGAACCAGGCCTCATCAGCAGCATAATCCCTACTCCTCCCCAAACGTCTTCCACATTTTCTCAGCACGGCGAGACGCCCTCCTGAAGTGACGGCTTTACCGTCCTCGTCTTGAAACCAGAACGGGCCGATCACGCCCCTGTTGCTGAATGCTTTTAAGGAGTAAAGTTTTGCGTTTTACTCAATTTTGGTTGAAATTTTTAAAACTTGCAGTTTCTCGAACACGTAAGTTGATTTTCTTCATGTTGAAAAATCTGAATTCCCTCTGCATGAATTTTGTATGTTCGAAGTTTCGTTGAAATCGGTGGGAAGGTGATCGAGTTATTGCACTTCATATGGGTCCTCATTATCTTGACACCCTGTATTATTATTGTCAATGTTATGATTAATTATTAGTTTTATTGATTTCATTGTATTTTTTTAATTAAATAAGTGGAAGGCGCAGACAGCAGAAGAGCACCCACCAACACTCAAATCCCGAGGAAGAAACGTCAAATGAAACAGGTAACGGTAAACACAAATCGGTGAAAACGTGAGGAAAATAAGAAATATTTATTGAAAGTCAAGACGCCAAAAACTTGCATTATAATATTTATTAAAGGGTATTCCCCATTTCTTTAAATACCCCCCCCCCCCTCTCTCTCTCTCTCTCTCTCTCTCTCTCTCTCTCTCTCTCTCTCTCTCCATCCCTCTCTCTCCCTCCTTCTCTCTCCCTCCTCCCCTGTCTCTCTCTCTCCGTGTCTCTCTCATCTCCTTGATGTACGTTAACCATAACCTAACGTTCGCTATTATGTTACACACACACATACGCTTAAAAAAATTTAAAAGCAACCTTCAACTTACACTATTGTACACATTGGGTCATACTCATTAACAGAAAGCAAAATACGTCACTGCTGCGTGACGTATTTGTCATAATGATATACATCATCGATATTTGTGGACTGTTTCGTTAATTCTACAACTCTTCCGATGACCTGGAGGTTGTAAATGCACCCCCCCCCAAAAGTCAACAACAAAAATAAAAAAAACTGCCCAACAACAGGAAGTTCGAGCATTCTAAATGTGGAATAACAAACACAAACATATTACGTTTCAAAATGGAGGTGTGCTTACGCCCTTATCAACACAATCTTGACCATTTAGAAGGCGGCTTTGAACCTGTCTGTTAGGCCAACCCAAGCGGAGAGGTGAAACAACGTCCCAGCAGAAAGACCAAATCAAACTTAAGTTTTCAAGGTGTGACCTCGAAGCGTCTAACTTTTACATTACATACCTCAGTTTGGATGGTCGTGATTACATGAGTTATTTTTATTCTGTTCTCTTTCCTCCCCACCTTTTCTTTCTCATCTGAGCCATGCGCTCTTCTTCACAGAGATGTACTTATATCAAGCAACCCCTAAAATGTTTACAGCACCGAATAATATATGAAAATCCTGCAATTCTATTTATATTACTTCGTCGGGTTGGGGAGAGGTGGAAGAGGGGGCAGACTTACTGTTCATCTACGAAGAACATGTTTTATATAAAAAAGAGTTTCATTGCATTAGATCTATCTCAAAGGTTGCGGGGTCATAATCAAAACCCAGACGTGGTGAAATTCTTTGGTGGGGTTCCTGATATTCTGTGTTCCGTCTGATCAGCTTGCTGGATCATACAATATATTTTGTATAGCTTTGGTTTGTTTTAAAAAAAGCAACAACAACCCCCCCCCCCCAAAAAAAATATATAAAAAAAATACAACAACCCTAATACCCTCCCCCCCTAAAAACAACAACAACAAAACCCAACAAACAAACAAAACAACTACAACAAACAAACAAAAAAACGAACAAACAAACAAACAAACAAAACAAAACAAAGCAAAACGTATACTTTGCAAAAAGAAAACTATAAAGGACATAAAAATAAATTTGAATTTCCAAAATGCTTGGGGGGGGGGGGGGGGGGGGGATGCGGCCAAGCACCAACGTTATACATGTAAAACGTAATGGAAAAAACCTAAGCTTGAAACATTTTATGCATTAAAAGGTGCAGTGTCTAGCGACACTGTCGCCATCCCCGCTCCCCCTCTTTCTTTATCTGCTCTCCGCCCTTCTTTCACACATCAGTGTGGATATAGAATGGAAATAAGTAAAAAACAAATCAGTTCTTCAAACTGTTGAAAGAGAACATCCTATGCTGGTTGAAACAAATCAGCAATTAATCATAGATGAGTTTTTTCAGCGTTTAAAGCAAGGTCATTGTCCCACATCACATAAAACAAACACATTTTTCAGAAGAGATGTCATTGCGAACAACATAATAATATAATATTATAAATGACATACATATCAATAACATTTATTCAAAATCGTGCAGTGCTGAAGTACAATTTTTTCAGAAGAGATTTCTGTGGGAACAGTATACATGTATTATATCGTAAATGACATGCATATCAATAACATTAATTTATTCTAAATCGAGTTGTGCCGTTACATAAAATTTTCATATTAAAAAAAATTAGTACAGGTAGTGCACATACTTCTTCTCATGTGCCTGTCATTATAAAACATTGCTAATACACAACAAGATGGCACACACTCAAGATTACGACCAACGAGCTTCACAAACGAGTTTTGGTGAGAGACCGCGCCCGGCCTACGTTCTCGGGGTCAGTGTGAGTTGTATCGGGGCCGTGGCACTCAAGGTGAGACGGGTGGTTAGGTTGAACTCTGACGTCATACTCGTTAAACAGTACCTGCGTACTATCTGTGAAAACATGATGATGATGATGATTATGATGATGATGATGATGATGATGATGATGATGATGATGATAATGATGATGATGATGACGATGATGGTGGTGGTGGTGGTGATGACGATGATGATGGTGTCGCTTCACGCCGGCCAACGCAAAAGACGTAATTTCAATTCTGTGAACCGACGCTGCGGTTTTTTTTTTTTTAAATCGAGCATCCCCATCTGTCCGTTGGACTGTTGTATCCCCCTCAGCCTGGGTTGGCCATGACAGGTAGGATCAAGGCAGCTGCCTTCTTTATGATCAAAATTATGTCAACGGGGCGTAAAACGCCTAAAATTACATTACACGTAATAATATCATCTCAAGAAAATCGTCCAGGTTTCGGAAATAAAGACGATTTTGAAAATTGACCTATTTCTTCATACACTTCTGCTTCCTTTTGACTTTCAACTAATCACTTTGCTACGTATCCCTGATTAGACCGGGCCACTTTATAATATGGCGCATACTCTACTACAAAATCCCAAATCGCTCACCTCAGTGCATAAAAGCTGAGCTTCTGCCATGGCTATACGGCGTCCTGAAACAAAACAAAAACAACAACAACCAGAATTAGGCACCAACAGTTTAGGGTCATATTATTGATAAAGTGTAGTGCATGATGAAAAGCATTGTCACAAAACGTAACAGAACGTCAAACACACATTTTTGTGACGAAAGTATGTTTTTAAAAGGAAGTATAAGCGCTAGATGAGAAATTAACAGTAACTTTTTTCGAGCAAAGCACCTTTTCATACCAGCAAAATGAATTACTTCTTGCAATACATAAATGGAAATATTGGACAAAAAATCGACACAAGGGTAAGTTGTTGATTTTCAACAGATGCCCTTTTCTTCAAATTTACCTTGTCTTTTATAATATACTAATAAACTGTACAAACTCAACCTGTCAGCTTGACTTATCTATTTCCAGAGGGTTAGAATCCAAGAAGTACGAGTAACTCATTTTGACAGTTCGCCTCACAATGGCACAACAGGATTTTTATGGAATGTAAAACCCTTTGTGCTATGACACTCATCATAAAGTTGAAATAGTTGAAAGTTGAAGACTTTACTCACCTATACAGCTCCTCAGACCGATGCCGAAAGGAATGGAGGAAAACGGGTCCGGTTCTGAGTGGCTGGTCTCCCCGTGCCGGATCCAGCGCTCCGGCTTAACGACTTCCGGGTCGGGGAACAGGTTAGGGTCACGTCCCATCGGATAGAAAGAAAGCAGGATTCTCACCTAAAGATATATATTGTTATTCGTGTAGCCAAAACACTGCGGAACATGATAAAGTGTAAATACAGTTTTAAAAATGCCTATCACGGCAGGTTCTAGAATGTAATGTACATTAAAAACCCATGCAATCTTGCCTTCTTACAAAAACGGCTCATATTTATGCAATATTTAATTTCAAAATGTTACGCCCCAAACAGCACTCTTCAGTTTATTTACGACGATGGCTGCTTCGACCCTGACTGCCAGGGCTAACTGTGGCTGAGAGTGGCACAACGTACCTGCAGAAAGACAGAGATACTCCATAAAAATCTTCCCCACACGGACGTCGACTCCTCTCCTGCGTTCGACGGCTGTGCGCCTAAACGTTACACCAAATCTGCCGGTGAGCTCATCGTACTCAGTCGCATTACAGAGGTAAACAGAGAACAAACAGACGAGTAGGAAGGCTTGCACAACATAGCTGACTTAGGCATTGTTGTAAGCAGGGTAATTTTAAAAAAACAAAGAAACAAAACAACACAAAAAACCCCCCAAAACAAAAAAACAACAAACAAAACAGCTACACAACTGTGTATTCTAATAACACAACAAAATAAAGTTCTAGATGATGATGATGATGATGGTGATGATGGTGATGGTCATTAATGCAAGCAAAATTGCTTACCCCAGCTGGGACCTTGTACCCACAAACATCTCCATCCTCTGAAAAGGTTCTTGTAGTGACATAAGCTGGAGGGAATAACCTGAGGAAAAAAGGAATCAAGTTCAGACCCCTTAAGTCAGGGAAGTGCAACATTTTTCCTCGGCGGGTCACTTTCGAACATCAACAATATTGGCCACTAAAATCGATAAAAGTAGGCTTCGGCCGCCACCAGGGCAAAATTCAAAATTCTTGCCAAACTGAAAGTGATCAATGCGTCCCGTCCGCCCATATGACATTATGTAGTTAAAAATACCGTTATACACTTGCCACCCCCCCCCCCCCCCCCAAAAAAAAAGAAAGAAAAGAAAAGCCAAAAAAAAGAAAAAACAACAAAAACCAACACAACAAACCGTGATGAAAATTGGGCCAGTCACCATCAGAGTAATAATTCATTACAGTTAAATGACAATGTATTGAGCTGTTGGTATAAAAAGAGCCAGGTCGGGCCCAACTGACTGGCTTGACCAGCTTGATTGTGACCCACGGGCCGCTTTTGCAAACTCTTTACTGCTGTCTAACGGACATTCCCCGTTGAAATCTGAAAGTTACACATGTCAAGAGGTCATTCGACAAAGACGTTTCACATAACTTGGCGCCCCATATTAAAAACAAAAACAAACGATTTTCTCACTTATGTGTGCCAGAGGATGAGCTGCTTGTGCGTTTGACGACATTTCATTTTATATTTATCATCGTAAGATAATTTTGAAAACTAAGAATGGAAAATAAAATGGACATTCTTTTATCTCTGTCTTTTTCTATCAGTCTGTGTGCCTGTCTGTCTGTCTGCCTGTCCATCTCCACCCCACTCGCTCATTCTCTCCCCCATCTCTCTCTCGCCCCCACCCCTCCCTCTCTTTGTGTTAACAATTAGTAATCTTAGAAATCAATAAATGTCGAATCTTTAAGAAAACAAAATAGGCTTGAAAGCTAGCCCACACCAAGTCAACAACAATATATTAATGCTACATCTTAACCACATTCGTACCTGAGGGTCTCTTTGATAAGCCCCGTTGTGTACTTCAGTTTGTCTAGGTCGGAATATGAAGGCCGCTTCCAATCAGGTAGAACTTCGTTCATCTCCTGATAACATTGCTGTTGTATTGACGGATTCCGAGCCAATATCCACAACAGCGCGTGAGCCGTGTTAGATGTCTGAAACAGATACCTTGTATTGTCAAGAACAAATTCAAATACTGTCGGCCTACTATTAATTAAATGTACTGAGCCCAAAAATTTTTCAGAACAGAAAAGAATGTTTCATTTTTATTGGTGACAATTGTTACAGTATGTAACTTTTCTTGCTTTTTCATCTGGTAGAATTTGTATTTCGACATAATATTTCTTAAGCTCCTACTGCTAACACCACATGTTAAGAAACAACATAAAAAAACCCTACAAAAACTTTGGGCATAGTACTTTTTATAGCTGCCTGACGATGTGTCTTATAGTACTTCCATGGGAAACAAAGAAACATTTTTGGTATTTCTTTTGCCGCCGAAACTTTATTATTAAGAGTAATCAGCCCACTAACAGGTTTTTAATCAGTTTTACCACTCTGATCATTAGTAAATCTTCTATATTATACTGATCAGAATATTTAACTGGTTTGCCTTGTACTTATTTACATTTTTCAACCTATCCAGCTATGTATACATCAACGCAAACACCCATCTGTCATTATTTGGGGACAAATCTGATACTCCTGTATTAATGTTGCTCCTCCAAGAATATATCGGATAAAAAAAGAAGGATTTCATATAGAAAGCAAAAGAAACAACAAAAACAAAGCCATCATCATCATCAACATCATCATTATCATCATCATCATCATCATCATCATCATCATCATCATCATCATCATCATCATCAACAGCAACAATACCATTATAACAATAAAATATCAAAAGCAACGCCAAGAACAACTGTGGTAAGAAATACAAGAGAATTTAGCAAGTGAATATTATCACGATCTTAAACAAGTAATTTCAGAGAAACAAAATAAAATTCAAAACAACGAGGTTACCGTGTCGACGGAAGCGAACATAAGCTCTGTCACATTCGAGTACACTTCCTTTAACGTGAGATTGTCACGTGACAGAATATGACCAATGAAACTCTCCTCCGTCAAAGATGTGTCCTCCATTCCCTGAGTAATCTGTTCCTCCGCTGAAATGACATAGTGGAAAATGAAGATGACTTTAGGCCTTACTAAACACCAATGTCAGAGTAATACAATAAATTCAGTATTGAATTGAATGTTTGATACTACCGATAATGGTAGAAAGAACGATCCTCGGGGCGACGAATTATAATGACGTGGATAAATATAACAACAATAATGATAATGATAAAAATGATAAAATATAACATTACTAATAATAATATAAATGTCACGTATGGCATACTAATAACCAATGACAATAATAATATAATCATAACAAGTCACACGAGAACCCTTAAACATTCCTCATGACCATCAACAGACCCTGTCATTTAACCAAATCTGGAAAAAATACATGTGCTTGAAATGATTTTATTCTGAAAAAAATGTAGACTGGTTGTTTCGGTTATAAAGGTTTCTAAAGGCAACCCCCCCAAAAAAAAAAAACAACCCCAAAACAACAACCCCAACAAAACAAAACATTTTGGTAAACAAAATATATAAAAAAAAAGTAAAGTGAGTCTACTTGCTGTCAGCTAAAACACTAACCTAATACCCGCATTCTATAGACTATGATGTTTAAAATAGCATACTTTCTTGGAAGTATGGAAAAGCCTTGAGGATGAATACTTGCCAACGGATATGGCATTTGACTCATTTTATTTAGACCAAATACCACGATTTCTATTGTAAGGTTCAATTCTGTTGATAAACATTGCACCCACGTCTCCTAACTCAGAAAGAATCATATAGAAAAGCATTGTGAGAGACCATAAGTACAAAGTAAGAGAAAGTTGACAATCTCATTTAAATGATGTAGTACAGTTATATAATGATGCTCTAATACGAGCATGTATTATTCATTTTTGTTTTCATTCGCCCTGGTTCATTTAGTAGTTGTGTGTGTGTGTGTGTGTGTGTGTGTGTGTGTGTGTGTGTGTGTGTGTTTGTGTGAGTCAGCGAGTGTGTGTGTGTGTGTGTGTTTGTGTGTGTGTGTGTGTGTGTGTGTGTGTGTGTGTGAGAGAGAGAGAGAGAGAGAGAGAGAGAGAGAGAGAGAGAGAGAGAGAGAGAGAGAGAGAGAGAGAGAGAGAGAGAGAGAGAGAGAATCGATAAAGGCCCTGTAAAAACTGAAACGATAAAATGAGTGGAGCATCTTGAAAAAATCCCATTCACCCAACTACGGCTACTTACCAACTTTGAACAGGATCCCAAAGTTACGCTCGAAAGTTCGCCATTCTTTATTATAAAATAACTTAAGAAACGGAGTGGGAAACAGCATTCGCTTAGACATGTACTCGAACACATACAGAGTGGCGTTTATAAACTCTTGAACGCCAGTTGGCGGTTGACTTTTGAGACATCCCAAACGCTTGTTAATGAGTACCGTGCAGGCACCTGAAAAACAAAAAGACAACAAAACAACAACAACCAAAATTCAAAACAAAACAAAGGAGTTTTTCCCCCCCATTAAATTCTCTGGCCGCTGCTGCGGAGCTGCTAGCCACAAAATAATGAATAGCGATGACAAATCGATTGAATAATACAGCGTAATATAATATGTTCCAACTCTAAAGTATTTAATAAGAACATTATTATTTATAGGGTAATTCAGAGACAATGCTGAACTTTTCATAGACTTAACCTACGCATTTATTTAAGTGCAAACTATCCACCTTCATACATGAGAACCTAATATAAATAGACAACCCACCTACCGCCAAACTAACTAACGAATTGACGAACGTAAAAAAGAATGTTATCCAGTTTTAAAAAACACTGAAAAAACATCACCAAAATAAAACAAAAATAAAATCAGTCCTACCCCCCAAAAAGAAACAACAACAAAACAACAAAAACAAAACACAAACAACCAAGAAAAAACAACAAAACATCAAAAACCAACTAACCAAACAAACAAATAAGAAAAGAAAAAGAAATCCCAATTCACTGACTATCAGACAGATTGACTGAACATCAAAAGGGAACAAACCAACCAATGAATGAATGAATGAATGAGTGAATGAATGAATGAATGAATGAAGGAAGGAAGGAATAAAGGAAGGAATGAAGGAATGAATGAATAAATAATGCATGTAACTCCCGACTTACTTTCCAAAGACCACTTGAAGAGCTCAGACTGGATGTTCGACACATCGCCGTTCACGTCTCTCAGAGTGTCAAGCTTGTCCACAAAGTCGGAGGACACCTCGCTTAAGCTATCCACGTGACGTCTGAATAGAGCAGGTCTCAGAATAGGCTTGTCCAACGTTCTGCGCATGCGTTGCCACTCTTTGCCCTGCCTTGATGACACAATTTAGTTAAGCGTAGTATTTACACACCTGTACACACACACACACACACACACACACACACACACACACACACACACACACGATATATTTTATGATATATAAATACAATCCTCCAATTTCTATAATATCTATCGTCAAATTCACCTGTGTGTTTGATTGCATACATAATTAATTTATCTTTATGCACATATACAATCATATTCATATTTTAGTATAAACATATAAATAAAATATATTTTTATAATACATCATCATCATCATCATTGCCTTTCTCACCCTGCACCAGGTTATAGGCCATGGACAAACACCTTCCACCTTTCTCTATCCTGGGCTAGCCTCTTGATATTATTCCATGTCCTCCCACTTTTCTGTACATCGATTCCTTCATTGTTCCTGCTGATGCAGAAGCTCCTCCGTCTCCCGAGATCGAAAAATGAAAAGCTGTGTATGTCCGTATTTCTGTAACTTACAATTTTTTTTACTGGGTTGGGTAGTTGGCCCTCCGCAAACTGGCACTTTTCGGGCGACCAGACCTAT